CGCCGCCGCCGGGACTGCTGCTGCCCTCCTACGCCTGCAGCCCCGGTAAGGGCTCCGCCGCCGCCGCCGCCGCGCCCCGCTTCAAGCTGCCCTTCCAGGTCACGCCGTCCCGGGAGAGCGGCCCCAGCCAGGCCGAGCGGCGGCTGGAGGCGCTGACGCTGGAGCTGGAGAAGGAGCTGGAGATGCACATGAAGAAGGAGTACTTCGGTGAGTGGAGCCCGGCCCGGCCCCAGGGGTGACGGGGGGTCGCGTGTGGCTGGGCGAGCTCCTACCTGAAGCTGGTTTTGCTGGGAGCCTTTGACCCTCGCTGACTTCCTGCCCTTTGACATCCTGACTTGATCGTCTTCCCTTCCAGCCCTAATGTCTATGAAATCTATCAGATGTTCAAACAAACAAAAAAACTAGAACCTGTGGGTCCAAAAATGATACTTTTATGAGACCGACTGGGAAATGAAATTTAGGAAACTTTCAGGGGCCCCTGGAGTCGGGAGGCACCGGTCGCCCATGCCTGCGAGCTCCCCCCTCCTTCTGCCAGGGCTCCTTGCTGCCACCTCTCTGGCTTCTCGTGGCATTTCCCCTTCTGCTTAATGATGCTAGGTCTGAAAAATGTCACCTCTTTCCCCCCCTTATTGTTCTGCCGCGATCCCCATCGCGGTTTGACTTGGTTTTTTGGGGGGGTTCCCTCTCTGTTCTTTCCTTCTTCAGCAGTTTGTCATTTTGCCTTGGGTTTTGGCTGGCTGCTGTGCTGGGCATTGCAGAGGCAGCTGTTTGTGCTTCGGTGGCTGTTTAATTGCCTTTCTTAGGTCTGTCGGAGTTTCCATTGTAAACCTCACGTTTTGGGGCGTCCAAACTTATCAGTGTGCTTTGCTTTGGAGCTTCCCGCACAAGTTATCAGGCTAGCTGCAGGGATTTTTTTCCCTGCAGATAGGGGCCAAGCTGGTAAAGCTGTTTTTAGGTGCTGGGTTCAATACCATCTTTGTCCTGCTTCAGCAGGAGAGGCTTCTCACACAAGTGTGGGGCATGTATTGTTTCTGGCCTGCAAGGCCTGGCTTGGCTTTGCACAGCAGGCAAGTCTGACAGTTTTGATTTGTCCCTGGAAAGTGAGAAGTGATGATTGTGGGTGATGTGATGAGAGGAGCCATTCCTGCCATTGCAGAAGCCAAAGTGAGCTTGCTTTGCATATCTTCTCTTTTCCTTGCTCTCTTTGTTTCTGTTTTATAGAACAATTAGGGCTCCTTGAAACAAATGAATGAATCTTCCAGTTACTCTGCAGCATAGATTAAGCCCATTTGGTATTTTTTTAAATGAATGGAAATTGCCAAGACATTTGCATTTGAAAGGCAGCCACAGTGCGTGCAAATACTGCCCCATTCTCCACAGGTGCTGGGGCTCTGGTGCAGCCAGGCTGGTGCTGGGAGGAGAAGGGGGAGTTTGGGGGCCCTTGTTGGCAACGTGCATCCCTGCATCTACTGCTGATCTAAGTTCTGCTGTGAGGGCTCCCTGCTTACTTGGAAAGGAGGTAGGACAGGCAAGTGAATGCACTGATCTGCCTACTGGCCATTGTTCTTGGGGAACGGAGATGCTTTGGAGGAAGGAGTTTCCCCTCTCCGTGCCCAGGCTGGATGCTGCGGGGAGGTAGGCTTTATCTCTTAGTTGTAGAACAGCGAAAAGAATGTGCCTATGTCCTGGAGAGTGGGGATCCATAATCTGTATTGCCTTAAAGGATTTGAAAAGACAAGACCCTGCATGCTTAGCGTAGTGTATTGACGCACTCTAAAGCAGGGGAGTTGTTAGGTGTTGTTCATTCCTGCCCACAGAGGTGCCATTGCCCTGTGGAGTGGCACAGAGAGACAGGCTGCAGGAGGTGGGAGAGCATCCCAGAGCAGGAGCGAGGACCTAGGAAAGAAGAAGCAAGGACCTGGCTTGTGGAGCTGTTTTACCTGTTTGTAAATCGAATGCTTTTTTGAACTGAAGTGGGGAGTTGTGCGTGGGGGAAACAAGTCAGTGAGCAGCCTGAGCACTAAGAAGAGCATGTGGAAGGCAGAGCTGGGTGAAAGAGCAGAGCGCTGTCCCCTGGATCCTCTACACTGTCCCTATAGTACATGGCCAGAGGTGGTGAGGGGCTACCACAGTCTAAATAAATAATAATTTTTAATCCTTGAAAATCCCTAGAAGCTGAATGATGCTATTAGTGAATGGGCTAGGTTGGGTAACATTTGTCTTAAATCTCAGTTGATTTCAATGAAGTCTGAATGTTAAGATGTGGTTAGAACAGAGGAACACAAAGGTGCCTTTAAAAGAGGAGCCTTGTAAGCAGTGGCCTGGGGGTGATTTGGAGAAGATGGGTGCTCCAAAGGGAGACAATAGGGGGGCAGGGGGAGAGGAGTGTGTGCTGATGAATGTATAGAAATGTGCTTATTGCAAGGGTCCCTAGGAGCAGGTAGATCCAATGGCAACATGTTGAAACATGCCCTAACCATTAGAAGACCAGGCTTTGTCAAAGCAGCGGGAGAGCGTGCTGCTTCCGTTGCTTAGACAGGCAGGCGTAGAGCAAGTCCACAACAGCACTGCAGCAGTTCTTTGCTATTGCAATGCCACCTAGATGCCTCTGGTAACAAGGACAAACACCCTAAGGCTGAATCTGTTGCGGACAGTACCAGCGTTCTGCCTGCTGCTTTTCTGGTTTTCAGTAAGTTGCACTGCTTTTAAGAGGGATTTCTGTGCTTGAGCCTGATTTTCAGAGTTGAACTGTACATGAGGTGAATAGTGAATTTTCCTGAGCAAGGACTTATATTGTTTTTGACTCACACTGGTCCCAAGCCACAAGTAGGAGCTGCACATAGTTCAGAATGATGGGGTCAGAGCTGTCTGTTGCTAGATGCAGAGACCACTTACGTGGGTACTTCTTAGATAGTCTTTGGAAGCCTTGGACAACAGTTCCTGAAGCAATAAAAAGGCGCTTCTGAAGTTGTGTAATGGCAAGGCCTGGCATATTCCCCTGTAACAAACTCGGTCCTGGCTGTCCACTCCCTTCTTACCTTAACCCTGTAAGGAGCCCTCTTAGCAGGTATCAGATGAATAGAGAGGCCTTCAAACACCTGTAATACTAGGTATGTGCTAACTTTTACAAGTAGAAAATGAAAGTAGACTAATCCTTATAGTCTTACCAAGTGCAGTGAACAGGGTAACTGGTTTAATGCTCCTTATCTGGATGGCCTAAGTATCAAGTACTTAATGTGTACCTTGGGATAAACGCACCAGTTCTTACAACTGCAGTTCAAATTCAGTGCTTCTGTACAGGGTGACATTTCATCAGAATAGCTGCAGTTAGTTTTCCTTACAGGACCTTGCATCTACACGCAACACCCCCCTCCCTTTTTTACTGCATTGCTTGGTATCTTAAGCCATAGTGAATCATCCTCCTTGGAAATGTGTGAATGCATCTCTGTAATGCTGGCAGTCCTTCCTCTGAGACCCTACAGTGCATGGCATCTCACCTGGATCCATCTCTGTATACTTGTGTGCTCTCCACTGCATTGGATGCTGCCTCTGAAAGGACCACTCTGGAAGGCGGTATCAGATTAGTCCAGAGGCCTTTAAATGCCTACTGTGCTTAAATGTTTTCTAATTGCACAAGTCCAGAATGAAAGTTGTCATCCTGATAGTGCAGTAATAACCTTGACAGTAGAAACTGTTTAGATGCGAAGAGGAACATCTGGTATGAACTTGGCAATCAGTGGGCACATCCCCATGAGCGTGCACATGCGTTTCCCCAGGGATGGCTAGCAGCAGCACATAGTTGTGTCACTGCGAGCTGTCCCTAGGGAATGCACCTGCACATGTACTCTGGGTGGGGTAGGAGAGGCTGGGGCAGCACCTGGGCTAGCCCCAGCAGCCTTTTCCAGGGGCCTTCTGGGGCTGCAGCAGTGGTGAACCAGGCATGTGGAGCCTGACCAGGCTCTGGTTTCAAGTGGTGCGTGGGTATCTGATTTTGTCTCTGAACTGCAACTATGCCATTCCTCACCTGGTCAACAACCTCCATAGATGTCACCTCTACCCATCAAAAAATATTCCATCTCCAGTAATTTTGGAGGAGACCCCTGTGAAGGAAACAATGGAAAATTGTTTTACCATCTTGAAGAGTAGATGCTAGCTCCGTGCTAAATTGGCGGTGGGGCAGGGAATATGGGAAAGCAACACTCATTGGTTGCTTGAAGCTTCAGAGTGGGACAGGTAGAACTTGTACTTTTGCTGATTTCCCTTGGCACCTGTAACACCAAGGTCCATGCATACAAGGGCCTTATTGTCTACTGGCAACCTCAAAAGATAAACAAAAAATTAAAGAAGCAAGAGAATGATCAAAGAATTAGTGACTGAATAGCAGCAAAAATCTCACAGGGGGAGGAGTATGGAGAAATGGTTTTCTGGAGTAGTCTCAAAGTCTTGAAATGGAGAGCTAGGCCTTGAAAAGGGAGCACATGTCCTTGAAAGTGGTGCAAGGCAGATGCGACTATGGTAAACAACTGATGGAGCCCCTTGTACTACCAGGATCAAGCACAGGATACTTCCCTACCCTTCCACTCAAACTTCAGGGTCTCCCCTTCCGCTATAGCATTTGACTGTGGCCTATCAATTAACTGAATTTTGGTCCATTCCCCAGCAACATACCCATGCTGGAGAACAACAACTTCCAGTGTTTTGCCTCTAGTACTTTGCGAATACTCGGTTTTCCAAGCGTGTCCCAGTCCTGCAGGATTTGCAGGATATCCTGGTTTGGTTTGTTTGTTTGTTTATTTCAGCAGTGCTATTTGTTAATTATGTTATCAATAAAGTCAACAGTGCTTTTGGTACAACTCCCTGAAAAGCATTATTAAGGGACCACTAACAAAATGGTTACTAAGAGAATAAGCGCACGCATTTCAGTCCTCTTCCGTGACTATACAACCACCCTCAGTCATCACCCTGCCCAAACCTAACCTTGTGTCCTTGACCATTTTTAGGACATTCTTCCAAGGCACCATTTTAGCTGTCCGTAATGCGTGACCACAGAAAATGTGTGTCATCCTTCATCTTCTCTTCCCCTCCCTCCCCACTTCCGCATAAACTGTAGGGTCTCTCCCTTGCTTTAAGCAAGATGTCCAGATACAGCGAACAGTTATTGCACCAAGGTGCCTCGCGTGGAAATATGTCCAGTGTTTCCTTGAGGC